AGAGAGAGAGAGAGAGAGAGAGAGAGAGAGAGAGAGAGAGAGAGAGAGAGAGAGAGAGAGAGAGAGATTCCATCGGTCGGTTGCCTCGCCCTGTCGTGCATCACCTGATGCATTTGCTTTTGCGAGCGAAGCCGCAACAGGTCATCTAGTTTGAAGTATTTTTCCTGGAAAGATCAAAACCAAATCTGCAGTTTCTCCAATTTTCAGAGTTTTCGAGGCATCCTACTAGGCGCAAAAAATCACGGAAGTGGGGGTACTTTTCTGTTGACCCACACGTTTGAGAGTGCCAAAAATTGAAAATGTGACGAATTGGTGCAGCATTTATTTCATTGTCTATTTTTTTTGTTTTTTCATTTTTCTGATATTTTTTCTGGGCAGATCATGACCTTATGTACAGGACCCCAAATTTTCAGATTTACGTCAATTCTTCTGAGCGTGAAAAATTGCCAAAGTTTGTGCTTGAAAATTTTGGGATTGGACCTGCCTGTGCCTGACGGTTGCCGCCTCCCCCATTCCCTAAAAACCGGCTCTAACTCACTGGAATTCCAATTTCTGGGTGTCGTCGGGAGAGGAGGTTTAACAGACCGTGTTTTCAGACCTGTGGACTTCCGGGTGTAGCGTTTAAGTCTTAGGAATATACTTTTGTGTGTATGCTCTGTTCTGTCACAAAATCTGGTCGGTTGATTGCTAAATGGCAAAAGTTGTGCTTCATGTCTGCGTGGGGATTGCGTTGGGCTTCTGTAACTCGAGCAGATGAAGTACGTTTTTGAGTTTAATCATCATAAATTGATGATTAGCCAGCCAACATCGAGCGAGAACTTTCTGGAGTTGCGTGAAGAGGAGCGGAATGGTTATGCTGGGCTTCCTCTAGAACCGTCGGAGGCGCGGCTCAGGGATTTGACATACGGGTCCTGCCTGTATGTTTCAATTAGTAGAACTTCAATTGACATGAGGTCATCGAAACATGTCGATGGCCCTACCCATACGTCAAGTGCTGTGTATTTGGGAAAGGTATGTGATCGTATCTCCTTCTTGCTGTTGTTTGTCTGCCTTTTGAAAGGTAGTTTTTGCTTCATACTTTACTGACTTGCATCTCTCTCTCAGTGCATGACTGTTTAACAGTCTGAGGATACCGTCTGGCCTCTCTTTTTTTAACAAGGGAAAGAGAAACTTCTCTTTTGCCACTTCTTGTTTCGAATCCATGTATTGTTTGCGGGCACGACAATCGTCCCTATTGGCGGCCCTACGTGGTGTATAGGGCCGCATCGGATGCTCTATCTTTTGCGGCGCAGCGCGGCAACATGCACTCATGGCCCTGCCCGTCCGCACAAGCACATGCACAAGCACACATGCACATGCATCCACACACCCACACGCACACGCACGCACCCATGCATGCGGTGAACTTGACATCATGCACTCATGGCCCGCTCGGCCGCCCGTCCGCACAAGCACACGCACAAGCACAAGCACAAGCACACGTACAAGTGCACATGCACATGCATGCACACACCCACACGCACACGCACGCACGCATGCACACGACAAACTTGACATCATGCCTTCATGGGCCCGCTCGCCCGCCTGTCCGCACAAGCACACACAAACACATGCACATGTATGCACACACCCACACACACGCAGATGCATTGTGGGCAGACTGTCGGGGTTCAACCTCCTGATGAGTTGGTGAAAGTCCAACAAAACAGTCTGGCACAATCATGATTTTTGTGGGGTGGTTCCCATGAACACATGAGGTGTGTGTGTGCACGCGCGCGCATGAGAGAGAGAGAGAGAGAGAGAGAGAGAGAGAGAGAGAGATTGCATCAGTTGGTTGCCTTCATCCTCAGTGCATCACCTGTCACATTTGTTTTTGCGAGGGAAGCCCCAACAGGTCATCTAGTACATTGTTAAATGACTTAATCACCTCCACTGCATTTCATCAGGAACCTGGAAGCTGACAATCTAAAGTGCAATCTATGTCACGCTTATGCGAAGTACACATAATGATATGAAAATTTGGTAATTTTCCATGGAGACAGCAGCTACCCCTGCCCTTCACCTGGCAGAGACTTCTCTCTCTCAGAGAGACATCTCTGCGAGGTGAAGGGAAAGGTGTAGCTGCTGTCTCATGCAGAACTGCCAGGTTTTGATATCATTATCAGTACTTCGCATGAACGTGACATTCCAGGTTCCTGATGAAATGCAGTGGAAGTGATTGAGGGGTTATTTAATCATGTATAGTTTCACCAACTCCATTTTTTCCTAGCAGGGTTTGAACTCTGGACTCGTGACTTTTCTGCTAATATCTAGTGTGTGGAATAGTTGTATGTTGGGCTAGAAGTCAGGTGCTTGTCAGAGTGAAGGTTTGATCCAGTGGAGTTGGCTTCTTTTGTATGGGATTGGCTGGATCCTTAGATGCCCTTTTGAGCCTGCTGAGCTAGACAAGAATTCCCGTTTAAATGGACAAATAGTTAATGCCACATATACCTACTTAGGTCCAGAGATGGACCGGTCGTTGTGGAGGACGAGTCTGATTCCTTGTTATATGTTGCTTATCGCTGTCTCTCTACCTATCCTCCTTCATTATCCCTTTGTCACTCATGGATTCAGCTGTTGTTAGTATCCAGTATTTGTAATGTTGGAACGAGGATCGTGCCCAGGAACTATGAAGGACTTTCCTTCTTGATGTGATACTAGTGATAATTGTGCGTCGGGTAGGGAAAGTCTTCATGTGCACTAGTTCCAGATATTATAAAAGCTGCAAAAAACCCAGTGTTTGCAATTAGTATTATCCATAGTTGCTGTGCACTGTGTGTGTAAAAGCTGCAAAAAACCCAGTGTTTGCAATTAGTATTATCCATAGTTGCTGTGCACTGCTACGGTGCGCAGTGCGCCGTGGGGCGCTGTATGCCATGTGCGAGAGTGTGGTGCATGTGTGCGTGCGTGCTCGCGCGCGCGCATGTGTGTGTGTGTGTGTATGTGTGTGCGTGTGTGTGTGTGTGTGTGTGTGTGTGTGTGTGTGTGTGTGTGTGTGTGTGTG